CCTGAAACCCCTAAGCCCTAAATACCCTAAACCCTAAACTCACAGACCGTCTGTCAGGATGCGGCCCGCGTCGCATCTCCGGCGGAATTGCCTTTCAGATAAGGGTTTAGGGTTCAGGGTATAGGGTTTAGGGTATAGGGTCTGGGGTTTAGGGTTTAGGGTTTCAGGCCTTGGGGTTTAGGGTTTAGGGCTTGGGGTTTGGGGCTTGGGGTTGCTTGAAACCACCTCTCATCTCCCACTTCACTTTTGCTCGGCTCCTTAAAGGCAGCTTGCGGCGCATTGGCCTTAGCTGTTGGTTAGTCGGGAGGGAATGAGGTAGCCTACAGAATCCCTTAAAAGGCATATATAGGCCGATAAGGGGATATAGGGTGTCTCATTCCCTGATTCCCTACCAACCGACAGTAAGTAGCACGGGGACTGAAGCACGACCACAAATCGTGCTTCTTTAGACTGTTCAAAGGTGTACTCGCCTATAGTCGAAACCCGTAACGTGCTTTGGCAGTGCTCATTATTCTCTTGAGCTCATGCTTCATCCCAAACAGAGCACACGTTTTTGGCAGCTTTTTATCTTTCATGTGACATTTGTAAGGCTGTAATACAGCCCGAGCAGAAGAAGTGGCTGCGCTACCGCAGCTAGCGTTCATGATCATTTGATCATTCATTTGGTGTCGATGCCCATCATCCAGAGCCGACGGTGGAGGCTAACCATAGCATGGAAGAGCGAAGGCTCGTGCGTATACTGGACGTTGTGCTCCTTGCAGATCTTCCTCAAACCGTCTGCCATGAACCACAAAAGCGGTGGGTCAAGTGCTGGTGCCAGGTGATGTTCTATCTGCATGTTGATGCCACCAAAGATGACTGTCATCCAGTAGCCACCCCAACTCATGGATTCCTCGATTTGGTTTGCCATCCAAGCATCCATCTTTGTGTGCTTGGTGGTCAAGAGTGAATGAGCATTCCTTGAGCTGTGAGCTACGAGGTCGGTATGGGAATGGGACACGGCAAACTTGGTTGTAATGGTCAAGCCTGTCAAACTTTGTACCAAAAGCGTAGCACGTAGGCCAGGCAAACCGTGCAGACACGGCAAAACCCACATCAGCACAATCCAGAGCACAAAGTATCCCCAAGGGCCTCCATGCACGAAGACGTTCTGAAGAGGAAACCTGGTCACCGAGAATGGAAGCAGAAGCGGCCAATAGAATGTCTGGGCCACATGGAACCACCGCCTCTCCTGACTCTGAAACAACCTGATCAAAGGATACATGGCTGGCAAGTCAGGATCGCAGTTCGCGTTGGTGTTCATGTGGTGGTAGACATGATGATTCTTTCGCCATGCTGCCGGATGGTAGCCCCAGATGTTGTCCACCACCTCATAGAGAGGTGCTGTCAGTCTGTCCAACCATGGAATATCGTAGAGCTTTCCGCCGTTGTGGTGACGGGTGTGAAAGATGTTCAGGAAATACACCTCAAAGAGGAATGACGCAAAGATACTTGCGGCCACACTCGGACAGAGGAGAAACCATGGGAAAACTGTAAAGAGGCCTGCCGTTATGATGAGACTCCAGGCCACAAAAACCCAATGTTGTTTTCTGTGCTCCTCCTTCACCTTACGGACAAGAGCATGAACCTCGGCGAAGAGCTCGCCATATTGTGGCATCTCAAGTCCTTGTGCCTTGAGCGCACCGGCGATCCTTCCATCCAAGTCGCAGCCCATATGGTAGACCAAGAACAGCAAGACCGGACACTCGGACTGCTCCGCTGTCTTCAAGTGTTCCTGGCCACCAGGGTGGGATCTGAAGGTCCCTTGGATTGGCAACTTGAAATCCTCAACGCGGCAGCTCTTCCTAGCAGTCGCACTCATCGTTTCGCCCTGTTGGCTTCTGGCGCAAAGCTTGTCTGCCACGCTGCCATCAACAAACAACAGCTGCGCCAATCTGGTTTTGAGAACAGTCTTTGCACCGGTACACCCGGTACACCCTAAACCCTAGACTTATTCACAAGTGCTTGGCTTGAGCCGGCCCAAAGAAGCGACGTGAAACTGACTCTCCCCCTTGGTCACCTGCTCACTCACAGTTTCGACTGCAGCCCGAACAGGATCTGTAGATCATGACCCCCCTAAACCCTAAACCCTAAACCCTGACAGACTTCTGCACTCCGATCCTGCCTCTGCCGAGCTCACCAGGACCTGGAAAGCAGAGGCAAAGAGTTGAGGCTTCGTGAGAACAAAGGCTCCAGACTTGCCGACGACGGCGTAGCTTTGGTGCGTAGGGCGTAAGCTGTAGGGCTTACGGTCCATATATAGGTTACAGATTAGGGTTGCTTATTGCTTGGGGCCTGTACGGCCTTACCCTAAGGGTCCATGTGCTCATATAGTATATACATTGGCCTTAATGTAGTCCCTATATAGGTACTTTATGGCACATGTATGTGCTATATGAGTACATGGACCCTTAGGGTCAAGGAATCCTAATCATGATATCAACAATGCATTAGAATTAGAACCTACAAAAAAGTGGTTTTGGGGTTCTTTAGGTAGAGGTTACAGATTCGGGTTGTTTATTGCTTGGGGCCTTTTGGGCCTTAGCGCTTCCAGGGTTTTAGGCGTTCGGAAGCCAAAGTTGGTTAGGGTTTAGAGTTTAGGGTTTAGGGTTTAGGGTTTAGGGTTTAGGGTTTGCATTCCTGGGCCGACTTCACAGCCCGCCAATGCCTGAGAGTCGGGATCTGAAGGAAGGAAGGTTTGGGGCTTAGCTAAAGAACCCAAAACCCACTTTTTTGTAGGTTCTCATTATAAACCCTAATATGGGATTTATAGGGACCCTGCAAAAAAGTAGGTTTTGGGTTCTTAAGGTAGGGCTTTAGGGGCTTAGGGCTCAGGCGGGATTTTTGGACTATCAAGAGGCACTCCTTTCGAACATGGTGAGCTCCTCTACCTTCGTGGCACTGCTACCAGTAGCTTCAGTTGTGAAGATGCTCGCTGCCGACAGCGTTCCAACTCCCCTGTACAGGGACGGACGTGCACAGTGCCTATCCTGCACACTCCGAGGCCATGCCCTAAAATCCCTAGAAGGGTGAGTGGTACGGAGACTCCGGGGGATCATCAAGGACAGCTGGGATCTCCGCTGGATATCTTCAGGGCGGCTTCTCACAGCTCCACCATCGTAGTTACCGAAGTCTCCTCCCGTTTGACAACCCTACACCGTCTGTCAAACGACAGGGTCCCCACCCCTAGCACCCGAAGAGACAACCCTTCTGGAAGCTCTGGCAGCCACTCTAGGACCCCGCGAATACCTCAAAAGAATCAAACCCTCAACGAACACACCTCCTAGCCCGTTGCCCCCAATACTCCGAAACTTGTGGGCCTCTAATAAACCAAACCCGCATGGTAAGTACGATGCTGCCGAAACCCTGAAGCTCTAACCCTGAGCCAGGTGCCTTCAAAAGCTACTTGGAGGATCTTGCGGTGCAGTGTGTAAAGTTATACGTACCCTGATTGGAGATATAAGCAACCACAACTATCCTTGCCTTGCTTACAACCCTATAGTTACTAAGCCTCATGATCCTGCAAGTAAACCTCAATCTACTAAAACCATTTTTGTAGAACCCCTAAGGTTCCCTAAAAGGGACCCTTTAAAAAGGAGCCGTTTAAGCTACTAAGTAGCCATAGGCCCCAAAGCAGTTCCTTTTTGGGGGTTCATCTATAGAATCCTATAAGGTAACCCCAAAAAGGAACTACTATGGGGCCTATGGGTAGTTTTCATTTAGGCCCGAAGCAGAAGGAACCGGGGCCAGAGCAGGGGCCGCCACTGCATCCACCGCCCGGGTTTGAGGCAGCTGGAAAAAGCCACGGCAGCCAGGATAAGGCGGAGGAGGGTTTAGGGGTTTAGGGGTTTAGGGTTTAGGGGTTAGGGTTTAGGGGTTTAGGGCCGGGTTTAGGGGTTTAGGGTTTAGGGTTTAGGGGTTTAGGGTTTAGAGGGGGCCGCTGATTTCAAGATGCAGGGGCATGCCGGTATGCCGACCCGGCGGGAAAATGGCGCAAAAGTTGGCTTCGAGCCTTTTGCACCGAAGTGAGGGCCCGCCGAAAACCCTAAACCCTAAACCCTAAACCCCTAAACCCTAAACCCTAACACACCCCAAACCCCTAAACCCTAAACCCTAAACCCTAAACCCTAAACCATAACACACCCTAAACCCCTAAACCCTAAACCCTAAACCCTAAACCCTAAACCCTAAATCCTAAATCCTAAACCCTAAACCCTAAACCCTAAACCCTCAGGCAGGCGTAGGCCGCCTGAGGGGCTGACGAGGCCGAGCGGCCGCCGGCCGAGAGTGCAAATCTTCAGTACCCATAGGCCCCAAAGCAGTTCCTTTTTGGGGGTTCATCTATAGAATCCTATAAGGTAACCCCAAAAAGGAAGTACTATGGGGCCTATATGGGTAGTTTCGAAGCCTTCAGTCTGAGTTCGCCGATGTTTCGCCGATGTTTAAAAGCTTGAAGAGGTTCTCAGAAGTTCTGTTGTGTGATTCAAGAGGCGTTTATATAATCATTTATAGGGCATCATAGGACAACAGAGGCTACAGAGGCTGAAACTCGGGCGAGAACAGGCGAGATCCGGATGCAGGACCGTTTGAAGGAAAAAAATGTGGTCGTGCTACCTTTTGCGGGCAGTTCGTGTCGTTTGCGTGTTGTTCCCGCCAGTTCCTGCCAGTTCCGGGTTCGAGGTTCACCCCAACCCAAATCAATGCAAACACAGATTCCTAAACCCTAAACCCAAGGAGTCCGGGAGGGAGAGTTCTAGGCTCAAGGGGACGAGAAGACATACGAGGCTCAACTTGAGGGCTTTCCGGAATCCGAGGAGGAGGGACTCTGGCGACTACAAGAAAGGGCTTGTTTTAGAGTTGAGGGTGATGCGACTACTAATCTTTCAACCCTAAACTCTTAACCGGACGCCTGCAGTAGGCTTTTGGGGGTTCTCTGCCCCTGCTAAACTCTTAGTAAGCTTCTAGGCAATGAGGCTTAGTTCAATCGTTGTCGCGCTGTTTCTGCTGCAAGGCCAAGAAAGCGAAAAGGCAGCTCCTGCGACGTCTGCAGTATTGAGCTTTGGGGTGTTTGTAATCTAAGGGTCCAGGGTGTAGGGAGTAAGGTTTACAAGTTAGGGTGAAGGGGTCGAGGGTGGCAAGGGCTTGTGTCGGTGGGTGTCTTGAAAGCCCGAATGAGGAGGAGGGGATTTGCAAAGTCCTGAGGGCTATTTACTTCATGGCAATGTACTGTGCTGTCTCCATGTAGGGTTCATAGTTACGGGCCTCAGTGGAGTGAGTTGCTGAGAAAAGTGTGAGCCAGTTGCATCACAGAAGAATCAACACCGTATTCCCAGTACCTACTACTGCTACTACCGGGACAAGTGCGGCTCCTACTACTCCTGCTACTGCTACCGCTACTGCTACCGACCGCTGCTGCTACTGCGCCTCTACTCCTGCTACTACCACCAAGGATGCGACGACAGCCCGGACAACGACGAATACCCTGCCTTTTAATTTCATTCCCCAGAACCTTCAAGACGACACAGACCGTCCTTGCTTTGGGATCATCGGCAGGGGAATGCACCACACCTGCCGGCGGGGCACACTGAAAACTAAACCTCAAGCCCTGAAGCCCACACTGCCATACTACCATCTCTGCAAGTGGATCCGGCCAGGAAAACTCTTGAAACATCAAACAACGCCCGTACCCGGATACTGCAGACCCCGCAATGACAAGATCACACCTCCAACCGTAGGGTTCTAAGAAGAGCTTCGTAGGAAAATCAACTAGTCCTTGATTCAGGAATATACACGAGGGATCACACTGAGGGGTTTATCTGTCTGTTTATCTATCCAACATTATCTAACCATCTGGCTATCGGTTCGTCCATCCACCTATCTATCTATCTATCTATCTACCTACCTATCTATCTATCTATCTATCTATCGATCCGTCTACCTGTCTATCTATGTACCTATCTATCCATCGATCTATCTATCGATCTATCTATCTGCCTGTCTACCTACCTACCAACACATACACACATATATATATATATATATAATATATACTCGATTTTATATATCATACATACATACATACATACATACATGCATGCATGCATGCATGCATACATACATACATACATACATCTTCTTCCGGACGCAGCGAACGTTACACATGTACATACATACATACATACATACATACATACATACATACATACATAAATACATACATACATACATACATACATACATACATACATACATACATACATACATACATACATCTTCTTCCGGA